CGGTGAGGCGTCCCGACACCCTGGCGCCTCCGCGGGTGCAGCGCTTCCACAGCGCCCACAACGTGAACCCGGCCCCTCTGCCACCCTGCACCGAGAGGCGAGGCCTCCGCCTGCAGAGCCACATGAGCGCCGACGGCGGCCTGGCCCGCAGCGCCTACTCTCCCCGGCCGCCCAGCATCAGCGAGAATGTGGCGATGGAGGCCCTGGCGGCGGGGGCGGACGGCACGGGCCCCGAAGTCAGCCTCGAGCTGCCTGAGGATGACCTCGTGCTGCCCGATGACGTGGTGCAGTACATTAAGGCGCATGCCAGCGGTGCCCTGGATGAGGGCACCCCGCAGGTATATCCCCCGGAAAGCACCTGCTTCTCTGAGAACCCCAAACTGCCCAGCCCAGGGCTGCACGGCCAGCGCAGAATAGCGGCTGCAGATTCCAACGTGGGCCCCTCCAACCCTGTGCTGGGCGGCTGCCAGTTGGGCTATGGTGCTCCCTCCAGCCTGAACAAAAACAGCATGCCTGTGCAGTGGAATGAGGTGAGCTCTGGCACCATGGACTCCCTGACCAGCCAGGTGAAGCCTCCGCAGCCCTTTACACAGGGCAACCTAGCTGTGGTACAGCAGAAACCAGCCTTCAGCCAGTATCCAGGCTACAGTTCCCAAGGCCTGCAGCCAAGCCCTGGCGGCCTGGACGGCTCGCAGCCACACCTTCAGCCCTGCAGCGGAGCCCCCTCTGCGCCCAGGGTAAATTATATGCAGCAGCTTCGGCAGCCAGTCCCAGGTGGCCAGTGTCCCAGCATGGCCATGGCTGTGAGCCCCCACACCAGCTACAGCCAGGCCCACCCCCAGCTGAGCCCCAGTACTATGGGTGGGGCCCTGAACCAGTTCCCCCGATCCTGTAACAACATGGCAGCCAAGCCAGGCCACCTAGGGCTCCCCCAACAAATGGAGGTTGCTCCTGTCCCCACCATGATGGGCAGCAGCCACAGGGAACTTGGGATCCCCAGTTCCACCCTGGCTGGGATGCCACCACCTCACCCAGCCCAGAGCTACCCACAGCAGAGCCATCACCTGGCAACTGCCATGGGTCAGGAGGGCTACCGCCAAGGCCCCAGCCTCCTGCCTTCCCACCAGCCTGGCTTCATGGAGCCCCAGCAAGGCATAGTGGGGGTGGCTGGATCAAGCTTTGGCCTAGTGCAACCCCGGCCACCTCCCGAGCCCAGCCCTGCTGGCCGCCACCATGGGGTGCGTGCTGGGCAGCAGCTGGCCTATGCCAGGGCCACTGGTCATGCCATGGCTGCAGGGTTAGCCAACCAGGAGATGGCAGAGTCTGTGCCCAAGGGAACAATGGGCAGCATGTTGTCACTGCCTCCGCAGCCACCCTCGCAGGACACAGGCGCGGCCCAGGACCACAACATGCTCTACTACTACGGCCAGATCCACATGTATGAGCAGAATGGAGGCCTCGAAAACCAGGTAGGCTGCCAGGTCACGCGGCCCCAGCCACCACAGCCACAGGCCTGCCCGGACAGCATCCAGCCCCAGCCCTTGCCCTCGCCAGGGGTCAACCAGGTGTCCAGCACTGTGGACTCCCAGCTACTGGAGGCCCCCCAGATTGATTTTGATGCCATCATGGATGATGGTGATCACTCCAGCTTGCTCTCAGGCGCTCTGAGCCCCAGCCTCCTGCACAGCCTCTCCCAGAACTCCTCCCGCCTCACCACCCCCCGGAACTCCCTGACGCTGCCCTCCATCCCCACGGGCATCAGCAACATGGCCGTCGGGGACATGAGCTCCATGCTCACCAGCCTGGCCGAGGAGAGCAAGTTCCTGAACATGATGACCTAAGGCCCCAGCCCCTGGTGCTGAGCGGACCCAGAGGGACCATCGCTTCCCAGAGAATGGGGCTTTTGTCCATTTCATCTTTTTCCAAAAAAGTATTAAATAGGTCTGAGGGAGTTTGGCCAGTGGCTGGTTCAGGCCACAGATGCTTTAAAGGCATGTTCATGTGCCTCCTGTCTGGTCTTCTTGTAGATTATTTTTCAGAATACTGGAAAAAGTCTCAATGGGAAAGTCAAGGCAGGAATGAAAAACTCGTTTACACAGTGCTTCCCAGCCTTTGATGTTTATAGGACCACTCTGTTCTGGCTTCGTCACCGCTGTCATTTGGCTAATGAAGGACTGCATTGGCCAAGGGCCTTCCAAGTCCATGAAGAAAGAGGGGAGAGGAACCACATTTGGGTTTGAATCTGAAAGCCATGCTGGAGATGCTAATCCAGGAAGAGAAGCCTCTTACTCTGGAGCCTGCGAGGTAAAGGAATTCCTGGCCCACTGGAATTTCTTCTGTGAAGCTTAATTCTTGAGGCCTTTAACACTTCTCTTGCCATGGAGGGGGGAAAAAAAAGATTTTCCCTGGATGATTTGGAAGAGGACATCCTGATTCCAGGTTTGGTAGAGCTGGCATCTCTACCCCACAAAGCCAAGTTTGCAGACTGTCCAAGTGTATGTGAAGGAAGAAAGTATGGAAGTATTGCCCCAAAAAGGAAAGAAAAAAGTGTATCATCCTCAGGGCAAGCCCAGAAGCTGCCCTGGCCTCTCCAGACCATGTTTACAGTGTTCATGCGTGTAGAATGTAGCCCTTCCTGAAAAGAACACATTTCTAAATACCTCGGGGCTGCTGGAGCTGCTGTGCGTTAGGGATGGACCCAGGTGAGCTGAATCGGCGTGGGCTGGGGCCTTAATAAAGTGAGTTGGGCGCCCAGGTTCCAGCCTCCAGCCTCCCTAGAGGTCTCCCAGTAGGAAGAGAAAGTTGCATGTTTACCCAACCCTGCACTCTCCACCCACTCAACCTTGGAAAACCCTGGGGCTTGATGGCAGCTTCCAGCCAAGTTCCTCCAAGCCATGCTGTCCGCTCACCAGCAGCCCAGCGGTCTACCCCAAGCCACAACATGCAGGCCTCGTATCTTCTGGACTCCTTTCCCTCTGCCCTCCTGTTCATTTCACAGAGAACAATGGCATGCATGATGTTTTGGGTAGGGGTGGGGGTGGGAGGGTGAAAGGGTTGATTCTTGAAACTCTGAGGGACCGTCACTGAATTTTCCTATTCGGTGTGACCAAGCCCCACCCGGGAATGGAATTTGGAACTGCTGTCAGAAGGCATTGTTCCTGAACGTACAGTAGCGTGAGTTGATGTATTCTCCCCACCACATACATATACAAACACCCAGCACCTTTCCCGTGTTGCATCTGTGGCAACCTTACCCAAACCAACTGCACCACTAGGAACTTGATACGGACTGTGACCCTGGCTTCAACCAGGACAGGGCCAAAACCTCACTTGGGCATCTACATCCCAGAACATCAGATGGTTGGTCCAGGTCCAAAGACAAGGGAAACTTCACATAACAGCCCTGGGACATCCCCAAAGGTCTGGGCTCTGTGTGGTGCGTGTTCACTCCCTGAGCTACAGTTTCACTAGCCATCCCCCGCCTGTATATAGTCTGTACAAAAGCCATCATCCCAGCAAACACTGTAGGTGAATCACCCAGTCAAATTTATATCTCCCAAACATTTTTAGCTTTTTCTACATGCTATGAATTGAGATGACATGTTCAACTTGTAAATAAGTCTTTTTGTACATTAAAAAAGTAATTTTTTCATAATTTATTTTGTCTGTCTGCTTCTTCCTTGACAGTAGTTAATGAAAACCAGGGCAGTAAATTTGGTGCATTTGAACGGAAATTAGGCTGTATTTTTTCTCAGCAGCCTTAAAATGGACTATCCCGCCTTCACCAAGAAATGTTTAATGCTGAGGCATTTAGTGGCTGTTTGTTTGTTGCCTTGGGAGCTGGGACGGGGAGTGGGGGTGGGCAGGGTTTATGTGTTACAGTGGGTATCTGGCTGTTCTTCCAGCCAGCTGGTGGGCAGATCCAAGTGGATTTGCTGAGAACCAGGTGCAGCTATCATCCCAAGCCCGCCTCATGTCCGAATTTCCTGTCTGACAGGCCGTCTGATGAGGATGTTTGAGTCGTGGCGCGGGGGAGGGGAAGAAGACAGGTGGACCCCTGTGCTCTGGGGCAGAAGGAGAGTCAGGACAGGCAGGTGGAGCCCCAGGATACCCAGCAGCCGGCCTTGTACACAGGGGCCCGTGGGGAGCAGCCGCAGCAGGGCCTGAGCCCTCGGAAGCGGCCCTGGCAGGTGCACAGGGAGAGCCCAGGTCTCGAGGCCAGTGGCCTGCCTGTGATCACAGCGATCAGGCTACTGCTGTGAACCTCAGGGGGACCAGTGAGGGGGGCATGAGGTCTGGGATGAATTCTGGAACTGGAACAAAGTACTGGCGAGGAGGGCCCAGGACTGGGTTGGAGGGGTAGAAGACACCTTCTCTAGGGCCAGTGGGCCCCTGAGCTCCCCCCTTTCCATGAGCCAAACCTTGTGGCCCAGCGTGGGGATAGGAAGCCAAAGCCACATGGAGGGCATTCAGCTCAAAGCCAGTTCCGTGGGATGTCATCGGGGGGTCTGAAGAGGCGTTCTCTGGGAAATAACGTGTAGGAAACCCCCGAGGCAAACAGAATTCAGCGGCTTTCCTTTCTGAACGCGTCCCAGAGTCTTTGCTGTGTGTTAGGGGAACCGTCCCTTCTCTGGCCGTATCCTGGTGGAAAGACCAGAGCGTCACACCCCCGGGGAGCCCCCCCCTGGGGAGGACCCACTCCACTGACAGAGGAGGAACTGTCCATGCCTGGCTGGGCCCTTTCCTCTGCCTCTCCAAGCCCATCTTCAAGCATCGCACCTCCTCGGTTTCATCACGTTAAGTCTCCAGAAGCAGCTCTGCCCTGCTTTGGGGGCAAGGGGAGGCCTAGAGTTGTCTGGTGCTGCCTGAGACCAGATGAGCAAAGTGTTAAGAAGCCCATTGAAGCCATTCAACTCAGCCACATACTGGTTAACTAAGGCCTTGATCACGCTGCATAATAATACTGTGAAGCCTCAGCATCATATTAACAGCGTCTTTTGCTTATGAATCTGGGTTCACTGAGAATTGACTGATTCGGGTTGGGCTGGGCTGGGCAGCTCTGCAGTTCAGCTGGGAGCCTCTAATCTAGCCAGCTTGGCTGGAACAGGTTGATTCTGCTCCGTGTGACTCATCTTCCTCCCCAGAGCGGGATGCTGGCCTGGGCACTGCCTTCTTGTGGTGATGGTATAAGCACAAGAGAGCAAGCAGAAGAATGCGAGTCCTCTTTAAGTCTCTGCTCAAACCCAGTGCACCTTCAGTTTCACCTCATTCTTGCAAAACCAAGTCATGTGGCCAAACCCATCCTCAGTCATTGTGGGAAGTGTACTCCTTCCATGGGAGCGAGAAGGGTGGAGTGAAGATTTCTCAACAATTATACAATCTCCCACAGTCTGCTCTCACAGAGACAGAGATGCATGTGCCTCCCCCGTGCACACTGTGTTCACCCAAGACTCCCAACAGTCTATCCAATCAATCTTCAGGTCCAAAATCTACAATCACATGGTCTACGTCTCTTCTGGATGTGGCTCTTCTTGACCCCGAGACTCATGAATTAAAAAGAGTTCTCTGTCCCCCAGGCACACCCACCCCACCAGGCACACAGTGTGGAACTGGGCTAGAATCACCGCAGTTGCCACTCCTCTCAGCCACTGGTCCACAGCATCTGAAGACCTGCTGGGCAAATGTTGCCGGCGGCCCTGCTCTGGGGTGGAATGGTCCTTAAGCGACTCCCCAGTTTATTGTGCTCCATGGCTCTGGCTGCCACTTTGCGGCAGGGGGCGGGTTTCTTCCTTTTCCATCAACCTCCCAGCTTCTGAAGAGGGCACTGGAAAGGATGCCCACCTGGACAGCAACCTCTTCACCCTCTTCCTGGCTGAAGGAAGTTGGAAGCCAGAGGTCCTGGGTTCAGTCCCCAGTATTTCCATTAAACTAACTAAATAAATAAATAAACCTAACTACCTACTCCTCAAAACAAGAAAAAAAAATTTTAACTAAAAAAAAACTTAGAAAATATAACCCAAAAAATAGCTTTAAAAAAAATCTTTCAGTGGCTGAAGAGACTGGCGATGAGGAATCATTTTATTTTCTAAATTCTGCTGTAAACTGGCTAGTTCCTTTCTGAACTCATCTCCTCCTCATTATACTTTATCATTTATAGCTAAAAGAAGCTCCTGTTTACAATATTCTTCCTGGAAACCAGCCTGCCAAATTCCACAAATTCATAGGAATGTTTTCTCCCTCCCAAATTACCATAGGCAATAATTTCACCAAATATTTCTTCAGCACATAGCCCAGGTCACCCTTTTTTTTTTTGGCCATTTTTTTCCAACCTCCTCTAAATTTCCTCACTACCCAATTCCAAGCCTAGGCTACATATTTTAAGACTTGTTATAGCAGCCTCCCATCCTAGGTACCAATTTCTGAATAAGCACCAGAAATGCCGTCTGATGAAAACCACAAAAGCCCTGAAGCGCAAAACACCAAGCATTTATTTAGCTCAGGAATCCGCGAGTCAGCTGAGGGGGTCAGCGCTGCCCTGGAGCCTCCTCCCCTGGACGCAAAGCATTATTTGGACATCTCATGTGGATGGCGCAAGTTCAAAAGGGCTAGCAAAAACACACGCGGCCATTTAAGGCTCAGGCTTGGAACAGGAGGCAAGTCACATGCCTGAGCCCCAAATCAACGGAAGAAGGAAGCACATCACCTCCAGAACTAGTGCCGGCGGGTACCTGGCCAATAATCCAACCTACCACACCTGACCAGCTTTGCTCGTAATGAGACTGAGTTGGAGCCTCCACCTGTCTCCGGAGTCTGTATCTTAGTTGGCTCTAAATCCAAAAGGGGGGACAGATGGGTCTTTAATTGTTGCTCTGTAACCAGTGATGTACTAAAGTCAGCCCGTGAGCCTATTACATGCATCTCTTGCATTCAAAGAGTTTAACATTGATAACTTGAAATTGGCCATGTTGGAGAATTTACACCGTGGAAATCAGCAAACACTGCCAATCAGGGCTTCCTCCTCTCAATCCCGGAAAACTGGTTGTTAAACAGTTGCCAGTGTATCTAAGAGTATACTCAAGCACTATGCGTTGCCAATAGCCTGATATGCCCAGAGATCTTTTCTAAGTTTCTGTGTCCACATTTTGTGGCAAACCTATGAGTCCAGAGTGCCATGGCTACCATGCCATGGCATGGCTACTTTGGTCACCTAGTTTAGTGACTTTCAAACTTTAAAAGCTGAGCAATCTGTTGTTCAAATGAAATTGGTTATATAAGGTAAAAGACGCAGATAAAAGTGGAGCTGATCTGGCTAAAGTTGGGAGCAGGAGACCCAGAACCCACACACATTCCATATCCCCCCCACCCCTGGCCACCCCTGCACCCAGCCAAAGCATCACAGACTTGGGTCCACAGAATGGAGCTTGAAAACCAAATCTCTGGTTCAGCACCAAATGAACTGAGGCCTGGGAAAAGCGAGTGAGTTATGAAAGAGTTAGGACTCCTGTTTCTAGAATTCCAGAAGCAAGGTGGCTCCCCCGGGACTCTGATAACACAGGCACAGGCCATATATACGATTCAGTCCTTGGTCTTCTTCCTGGCCCTGGGAGTCAGAGAGCTGTGCCTGATCTATGTAGTCTCTTGTGTCCAGCACATGAGAACCCACCAGTGGTTTCAATTCATTCTGCCAAGTTTAGTTCCAAATCAGGAGGTTCTAAAAAGCTTCATAGAAGAGGGGGAGATGAACAAAGCTTTGAGAGGTGAGTGGAAAGTGAACCTTGTGAGTGGCCCTTCAGAATGTAGTTGGACATGAGGCCCCATTCACATATGCTTACAAAGAATTCTGAACACAGAGATGAAGCTATAGAAACTTGGAGGTTGTACTTCAGAGATATTGGAGTTTGTTTTTTAAATGGATAGGGGTTAAGGGGAAGGGAGGAAGAAGAAAAAGGAAGAAGAGGAAGAGGAAGAAAGCTGTGATCTCGCAGGCCCAGGGGCTGAGCAGAGACCAAAGGCCTTGGTCCAGAGTCTTGTAGAATCAATAACTGCCTTGTCACCATGAGCTGAGCAACTCTGATGGGCCCTGCCATCTCCAAAATGCTCTCCAGTGGTTTGCCTCGGTTCAAGAAAATTGATTACTGAAGCAGGTTTCCCTTGGGTGTAAGCATTGAAGTCTGCTGAAAAAGATGCCAATGTGGCCCAGGATAGTCAAACAATGAAGGAACACATGGAGGAGTCCACAGGAACATTGCAACCCCTCGTCAACTGCTTCCTGAACCACCTGGGAATTTCCTGCAGCTGGGTAGGCATAGAAGCCCCACGACGTGGTTGCACATTGGCTTTCTTCCAGACAGAGTACTTCCGTTTACAAATTAGTTCCATTTCAGAAACATTCTCTGAACTCAGAGGTCATCTGAGGTTCCTGGGAGGTGATCAGTCTTCAGCTTCTTCTTAATCTCCTCCTTCTCTTCCTTCTCATCATCTTCTCTATTCCTTCATCTTCTTCCTCTTTTCTTCCTTCCTTCCTTTCTTTCTCTCCCATCCCTCAGTTGGTGAACACAACAAAGAGCAAGTTGGTGTGCCCAACATGTGATTGGATCACTGCAGCATACAATGATGTGTACCATGACTTCGTGTAACGGAAGGAGTGATTGGCTT